CGCGCGCCGCGGAGTCGCTCGCCGAGCGCGCCGCACGCGACGCCGCCGACGCCGCCCAGGCCGCCCGCGACGCCATCCACGCCGCCGAGAAGGCCGCCGCGTACGCAGCCTCCTTCGCCGCCAACGACAACTCCGTCAGCCTCCGCTCGCTCGACCTCCCGCGCTTCCCGCTGCACAAGGCCCCCGCAGAGGCATCGCTGCCAGATCCGCCCGAGCCGCCGTCGCCGCCGTCGCCCCCCGAGCTGCGCCCGCCGAGATCCAGCGCCACCTTCAAGCGCCAGAGGCTCAATGGCCCCGCGGAGCAGTGCGCGGATATCGTCGACGATCCGGATGCCGTGCGCGTGAACAGCCTCGATCTGGACGCTGAGTTGGTGCACTCGATGAGCGGCCACTCCGTGAACGGGCCGCCGTCGTCGCCCAGCCTGACGCTGCCGACCCCGGTGCCCGTGCCGCTGGGCAAGGTGTGGAGCCTGGACGTGGTCGCGACGTGGCACAACGCCGTGCGGCTGGAGTTGGCCGATCTGTTCCTGATCCTCGACTGTGTATCGGCGCCGCGTCCCGCGGCGCCTGTGACGAGGGCGGAGCTGCGCGCCTTGTTTGCGTGGTTTTCTACGTTTGAGGCCTTCCTCGTGACGGGGCTCAAAGCAGAGGAAGAGGTGCTGTTTCCCTGGCTCGAGCAATGGGGGAGGATTGATGGAGAACTGTCTACGGCGTCCCGCACAGTGTGCAAGGGCGCGATCATACGCGGCATTCGGGATACGGCCGCGTGTGCGGCCCTCCTGGGACTGGACCGCGATTTGCCGCCGGGAATGCTGCTGACTAACCCAGACCGGAGGTATTATGACGGGTTTAAGGTAGGGTATGCGGAGCTTGCACCAAACCTGGGCTCGGTGACGGAAGGGGCAGTATGTGGAGGGATCTTACGGAAAGTGACGGATGCAGTGGCGTCGTTTTCGACGCAACTGCTTAACTACTTCCACGAGCAGGAGCGCAGCCTGCCGGTGATTATCGAGAGTTTGTATGACCCGGAAGACATGTATTCGGCAAGCATCGAGCGGCGAATAATGCGTGCGATCTGGAAGTGCGGGCGCAAGGACGAGAGCATGGTGATGCTGCTGCGGGCCGTGGAGGACAGCCCGTCGTGCAAGCAGTGGACGTGCCGGAATTTGAGACGGCTCGAACGCGTGGCGATGCCGCTGTGGAGAAGACGGTACAACAACGCGAGGGGTGCCGTGATCGCCAAGTTTAAGCAGAGGAAACGATCGTGGGAACGGTCTGCGGCTTCCACAGATATGGTGTTCGGGTCCAGTCTGCATCGGCTGAATTTGGGCAGCGCAACGGCGAGGTCGAGAATGGGGCCCATGCCGGGGATCCAGAGCCACCTGGCCGAGCCGCGGTCGTATGGGTCTTCGTCATCGACCGATAACAAGTTTCCAACTGGTCACGGTACGTAAGCACAGGACAAGGAATGTAGAAAGATGTACGGTATCATAAAAGGCAGTGAAACTGTGTTGTACAACGTGAAGTGTTTGTTTCAAGCGTTTGTTTGATGTGTTTTCATTTCTACCCACCAGTTGTCGGATTTGCTGCCATTCCGCTGTCGATAATAGGGACACATGGACACCAGCAGCACGCTGTGCAGAACCCTTTGGTACAGTTGTACGAATTGTACAGTACGGTAACTGTTAGTCCACACCCGCGATTTCGGGTTGTTTTTTCATTTTTGCTTTTTGCTTGTTTATTCATGCAGAAACTGAGAAACTTGATGATTCTTCATGAAGAAACGACTTTAGACAATGGGAGACACTGCATGGAGATGGGCTACAGGGACCCTAGGACGGCATGGGGGATCTCGATTTCGATGGTTGATCGCGATTATCGGTGGGTCGCCTGAACAAGGCCGAAGTGGTGATTTTTTCATTTTGCAGCATTATCTGGCAGTTTTTGAGCGCAATTGCGCGCAAAAACTTGATTTAATGTAATGAAATCGCGGATCACACCACGCCTTCCACCGTTGCGCGTGCTGTGTTTCCGGGCTTATTACTTCAACGGTATTGCGCTGTATGTAAAGATATGGGTGACATGTCGCAGGCAATGCAGCTCGACGGCTCGACTCCGCTCTTCAGCATAAAGTCATATCAGTATTCGAAACGGTTCCATCCTGTGATGTCACAGGATGGAACTGTGGGCGTGCACGACTGTTGACAGTCACGACTGTTGACATCAACAGTCGTGCACGCCCACAGTTACACCGAGCAAAGCTGCAGCTGCTGCCTCGCTCTCTGTGGAGAGAGGCAGCGCACGCAAAAAACATATGCGGGGAGATTGAGGAAATTTCTCTCATTGTGGATCAACACAAAAGCAAATACATTACATTGTTTGTAATTAATAATAATCGTAATTGTGAGGAATCCTCACACTCCTCATCATTCCACCTGCATCCCCATTACCTTCACTCCTCTACCGTCCATTGCCCTCATCCCATCACCTTAGCGTCGAAAGTAGAAGTCATGCGAAAAGTATACTCGTCTCCCACCGGAGTGGCACACAGCTGTCACAAACATCCGCTTGTCCAAGTAATGGTAATCCCATGCGTACAAGTTGTATCCGATCGGTGACGACTGGTCAGGCTGCGATCCACTCACGGAGAACGGGTATTCGCTCGTGCTTGACCCAAACACCCCGTTCACAATCCAATCCACCCGATCGACGTGTCCAAACACTTCGGGCACGATCGAAATCCCTTGAATATCCCCCAGTTCAATGAACTCGTTGATGTCTGCCCCAAGCTCCATCTCGTTCCCGCTATCATACACTTTGAATCTGTACACCCCAAAGTCATCGTGCTCAGCAACACCAATCCGGTTCTCTGGTCGCTCCAACGCCTGTTCAAACCACGCCCGATAGATGAACGGATTTCCGTTGCTAAACTCCCCCGGCACCATCTTCCTGCTCCATAGTTCCTTCCCACACGGCTCAGTCACGCAAATTCCATGCCGCTCCACAGACGATTGGCATCCATCGCTATATTTCGGCCCCGGTCGAAACACCGCCCCGTTCACATCTTCCAACGGTCCCCCCTGAATTCGCACGTACGCGCAGTCCCAGTACTCCCCAAACGACCCAAACGTCTCACCGCCTCCGTACCAAGACCAACCGAGCACGTACACCCCATCCGGATACACTGTCGGGATCAACACGTCCATTTTCCACGCCAGATTATCTCTATCAAACCCGCAGTCTCTGTGATGCTCCTTTTCGTTGCATGTGTACCCGCCTGAGGACCAACATCCAAAGTAGAACGCCATCAGGTCGTGCACGTCCTTGCGGTCCATGTCCCCAATGGGAACTAGCGAAAGACGTACAAATCCCCCAACGTGATTGTTCTTCGAGTAATGAATTGTCTGCAACGACCCGCGCTCCCATGTAGTGCTTGGGTTCTCCAGTGTCATGTCAGTACGGAAATGGTAGTTCGGACATGGACCCCCACAGAATGCTTCAAACCCAGGGTTTCCGCCTATACGACAAGTCTCAACTCGAGAAATAGGCATTGGAACTGTGAGGAAGCTGGTATCCAGAAGCCAACAAAATCGCAAACACTGGTTAGTTACAAGTGGACTAGAAAAAGCAATCCACTCCCCATGCATCCCATATTATTTCCTTGGCCACATACCTGTGAGCGACACAACAAGTCTGGAACGCCAAGGCAAGTACGACGATGATAACGGGAATTGAATTTGCTTTCCCCATCGTCTAAACTTTTGGGCTCCCACTGAACAAGCTACGATCAAGAGTTCTCCGCGTGGATTTTGTTACTCGCCCTATGCCTCGTACGTTGAACGGATGTCGAGTCTCGCCGCAAACGTAGGGCTATACTCGTCAGGCGTTGCAGTACCCTAGCGATCGCGTTCGTATGCACTGAGCTGAAGCCGCAACAGGTGCAGACAGAGTGCGGACAGCCGAAGGCCAAGCATTGCAAGTAGTTGTTGGTCGTTGAAGCCATTTTTTCGGGCCTGAACAAAAGCTGGTGTGGATTGGTGTAAATTGCACTCAACAACGTATTCATTGAGACTAGAGGGGCGGAGGGACGATGAGAACCATCTTGCTCGAAACTGCGTATGCAGAAGGCTTATCAGGCCTGGTGCGCGCACGCACTCGCTTCGTCCGACCGACACGTTTAACAAGGTCTGTGCTAATAGAATTGAAACTTGGCCAATAGGAGAAATTATGTGGAGTCCATTATGGCAGTACACGGAATTTGAGGAAAGCTTTCGGTCAAAAGGAGTTCGGCCTTTGTAGCCACCGCCGCAGGAGGGGCAATCCTACTCCGTCATGACGAAAGGGCATTTCTGCCAGGAATATTGCAGAATGAGGCTTAAATCTGATGGATGTTGATGTGTCTCGGGCCAAGAAGCGGTTGCAAAAGAACCCACCTGCTGTGCTGACGATCAACGTTACTCTGCATGCCGCGGTCAACTGATTCCTTAGGGGATATCATAGCTGGGCCCCTCTCAGATTATATTTCCAGCAACAACACTGCCTGGATAAGCATAAAATACCTGCAGCACCTGCTCCGCCGCATTCTCGGAATGTGGCCCTTTCAGTCCTTCCAGACAAAAGAAATGAAGGAGGTTCATTGTTACATTTCTTCATCTCAGCTTGGACATACGTTGAGTTCAGTTAATCTGCCATACATCCCTCGATATTTTGTACTCACTGCTGGTCCTGCTGACTTCTCACATGCTGCGTACATCGTACGCATGTATTTGTATAACAAAATGCTAAGTACCTGTGTTAATTCATTGAACGCCTGCTGCAATTCCGTCGGCTTGTATTTCCACATGAAAGACATGCACTTGTGACAGTTCTTGAAGACATTCCTGCTATGTCATGTCATGTGCAACAACAAATCTCATTTTTCCTCCCGCCGCTGCATGTTTTCAATGTCAGAATTTGCACACAGTCAGCATATGCCAAAGCATTAGATGTATAGGATTTAGAACCCCGTGATTGTATCGAGAACATTCGTCATAGGCGATTGAATTGTTTGCATCCCTCGCAGTAAGCTTGTGACCTGACTCACAAAACGACTGTTATTGGAGTTGTATTGTCACCTCTACGCAAACCGTGATATTGCGACTGTAGCCAAATTCTGGTCGATTTGGTTTAGTAGATGGGTCCACATGGGAGTGTGAACTGTTGCTTTGTTCAATGGAACGCCAAGAAAGGTGGGCCGCATGATGCAGATGATATCCATTCAAATTTCCGTCCTTAAGAGCAAGGCTTATATTAGTTTTTGCTTTAAGGATGACGTACCGATTCTCAAAATCGCTTAAACATATTGCTTTGAGAGCGCCAGAGGTAGGCAACCCACCAACTGGATCGCTCATTTCCTTTTCTTCGGTACAGGTTTGAATTAAACAGGCGATATGAGTCTGTTCAATCTGTATCCGCTATATCCTTTAAACAAATTTCTTCTGAACGAGGCAATGGGTAGTGAGCGTGCTTGTGAAGAGATGAAACCTAAGGTGCTGGCTGTGTATGCGTTGCCTCATGCACGTGACGCTCCACGCCAACAATTCTGCGAGTTCCATATCAAGCCACAAAAGGCATTGCGACGATGCCATTGTGCTGATCTACTTGGAGCACTTTGTTGCGCTGTACCGTACTGTTGTGTAACGGTTATAATCGCGAAGACTTCGCGAGCTGAATCTGCGCACAGTGCTAATGTGGCTAGCTCATATCTACATCTTTCTGTATCAAACGTAAAGCATTAACTTTCTTCATTACCAGGATTATACAGACACAATACTGCTTCTGTCGTCCCATTTTTGTGGTTGGAAAATATGACTCTACAATTCTCTCCTGAAGGGGTTTTCTTCTCAAAACACTGAATTCTTCACAAGATATCTCTAATCGGCGTTTTCCCTTGAATAAGAAACAGTCTCCTTCTCCTCTTCCGAATTCACATCGGTGGCGACATGAGCTGCTGTGAAACCGTAGATGAGGCGTGTTGTGTGTGAGATTTCAGGTGCACGGCAACGTGGACACCAATGCTCCATACATGAATGAGTTATAGTCAGTGCATACTCAAACCATGCTGTGCGCGGAGTGCCGCATCTGGGCGTGGTAATGCTCAATTCTCAGCCTGTTCCAACAACTGGACTCACAAGACGATGAATGAGTACGGTACGGTACCCAAGGGTACGGGGGAAAAGCATTGGCTACCCCAGACTTCTGAGCCCCAACATGCCTGTGGTGTGGAGAAGGCGAGGTTTCTGGACTTAATGATAGCGGTGCAATATCTGGTACAGTACGGGTCAATGTACGGGTCAATGTACTGTACACTGTGTGTAATACACACAGTGTAGTTGAGTTTCACCCCTATACACACTGTGTATAGGGGTGAAACTCCACGGGAAATAGCACGCCTCTGTAAGCACTTACTGACAGCCGGGGGTCTCGCTGTATCCGCCTCGCCGCCGACCCATAAGTAGTAGAAGCGAGCTGTCCTATCCCGCTACCTCTCCTCTCCATGTCTATTTCTCTCCCACCCATCCCCGGCACTGCCGCCCTCGTGTCGTGTCTCCTTTTTCATCATGTCTTTTTCTCTTTCTTTGTTTTCCTTTTGAATCTTTCGTCCTTTTTAATGTTTGATTCGTCCTGTTCTACTGTAGCGCTACTGTAGCATGTTGGATCCTGTTTAGCTGATGTCCCACTGACCATCAACCATCGTAAAACTACGAATATCTTCAGTACAATACCGCACTGCCGGTACGTACAGTACAGTGTGTCTGTCCATCTCTTCTGGCCAAATCTCAAGCCTCCTCTTTTCATGCGGCGGTCATGAAATCTACCAAAGATAATACACGATGAAGCGTAAATGCCATGGGGTGCCAAACCTGTGGAAGGCTCCGGTCATGGTGACACTACTGTAGAAGCCATTCTCCGTGACTTCAAAGCTAGGCAACAAGGACTCTCGCGGCTTAAAAGAGAGGTCACGTGAGATCCTGATGAGGATTGCAACCAGAAGAAATCCTCAGGAAGTTACTGAAAGGCCTTTCACTCCATCACAACGATGCAGGCTTTGATCATTCGTCAATGGATAGGCGTAACAATCCTGATTCTTGCAAGCATGCGTTGTTTCACGATTTCGTTGCCGTGCACAATACAGGAAAATCTGTGCTGGGCAGCTATGAAGCCAGGGACATGGCATTGACAATTTGCAGGGTGTACTTCTCATCAAGCAGCGAGTCGCGATGTCTTACGGTATACGGTATGCAGCACACACTCGTAGTTTTGAGGCTCAGGTGATAGGAATCCTCTCTCATACTAATAATTACGTGTAATCTTGTTTTGATGACGCTGAAAAAATTTGGGCGCTGTATCTGAAGCCTTTTTCGCAATCGATAACTAACGATACATTTGCAGAAAAGGGAAAGCATAGTAGCGACGCTCTAGTGACAAGGGTTTCCTTCGCATGACAGCTACGGGGACATGAAACAGTTTCAAAAGAACTGAAGACTATCTCCACAAGCGCTTTTTGATCCCACAAGCCTCCGTTTTTATACTTAGACGTTTCTTTCGTCCGACCAAAAAGCAGTTTAAAGGCCCTCCGACTGCTGATTAAACCCTACCTAACGGGAAAAAAAATCTCCGACGTGTGCAGTAATCGTGTGCTCTAGCTCTTGACATGACACATGTGAAACGTGAAACGTGAAGAGTGTAGCCCTTACGAATCCTTCTGTCGCAATCACCCTATGCAGAAGTTCTCGTCATTTCCCGACCAACGGAGCAAAATGCAATCGTGCTACGGGCACTTTGGCCAGCAGCAGCAATAGCGCCAGCAGTTGCATTTTTTGTTCGGAAGAAGACAAAATTGATACATTATTTGTTGGGGCTTTGTGCGAGCCAACCACATAGGCAGGGTGTGAATGAAGCTAAGCAATTCCAGATGGCGGTTGCTATATTGCTTCCTTCTTTGTTGTTTACTTGCTCATTATTTTCAACGGAGAAAAGCTGATAGCCTATCACCGTGTCCATTTTCCATGAGTGGTAGCCCTAGTGTCTACTAGACAAGACTTTACCAGTTCTTCGAACACTCCATTGGATGAGATCATTCCTGCGACAAACCCTAGCGAATTCTTTGAACGCTTTATAGGATGAGGTCATGGCTGCCCCAGGAAAACAAATGACCCACAACACCCTCCTTTCTTCGCCCTTAAAGCATCCCACGAGATGCATAATACGGCGGAGAGAGGAGAGGGGATGTCTGTAGCGGTCACGGCAGTCACACGTCACACCAAAGAGATACACCCAAGTACAGTATTGATGGGAGTCGAGGATCTATAGCGCCTCCCGTCCCCCTCCTTGACGGCGACTCAGTGTTGTGTTGTTGCCCATGCCGATCGCGCGACAGGCAAAGATTTCAGTCTGTCGCTCAAATCCGCAACGGAGCCTCTTCGCGCGAAACGGTAGATCGAACTCTGGCAATGGAGCGGTGGCGGAGAGTATTAGCGTGGAAACGAGAGTGGCGCCAGGGGCGAAAGACGAAGCGCAGCAATGCAGTCATACTACTGTCCTTAGTTTAAATCGCTCTTCCTTGGAGCCCGTCAAGGGTCGAGGCTCCCACGGGAGAAACAAGTACAAGGGTACTGCAGACGAGAAGCGCCGTCGGGCAATCGCGACCACTTACTCTAATCCAGATTGCGCGATGGGAAATTGCGCGCGGCCATGCACAATCCTTCGAAGAGATGCAAACTCACAACTGTCCACGTCATCACTTTCGGTGCGGACGCGCCAGGCGACGGCCTACAGTGCATGCTATGCGAAAGCCGTACTTACTCCTCGAAGGTACAGTAACTTACTCGTATGTACCCTGCACAACTGTTTTCCAGTTGCTACGTTACGCTGCGCGCCAATTGGCCTTGACGTACAGACCTGCGGCTGCGGTACCCTTGCAGCATCCTTTAGCGCGGCAGGGTTTTGATTTCCGCATGTCACGTCACTCACCCCATTTGCGCAAATCTGTTTAGAGTCATGTTTGGAGGCTGCTTCCATGCCATGATGTCTGCGCTCCGAGGCTTATATAGACGACATTCTGCCTTTCACATGAGTGACCTTCAACATGAAAACCACTGCTTCCTTCATATGATGAGGTGAGGTCTAACGTCTTCTCTTTTTACAAATCTACTCCAAATGCTGCGTCTTCGCTGTCTGAACCTTCTTCTGGCATGCATAACCTGCCTGTCTCTCTGTGTTGATACCGCCCGTCCTCCTCTTGTCCAAACAAAAAATGTTGATCCTGTAGGTCCAACAGGAACTCTCGACCCTCTGCGTCGCCTGCAAGATTCAGTCGGAACTGCTACTCAAGTTTGGGCTAATGGACCGATGGAAGAACACCGCACCATCGCGGCATCTCGAACAGGCCCCATGTCCGCAGTTTATCGCGCAGCGTTGGCTTCCAATGCATCTCAAGAATGCAATCCCTTCTCCGGTCATCAGTGCGAAGTCGCGATCAATGGATTCGGGACTGTAGGTGAAGTGCAGTACACTTTCAACAACTCCAGAGAGAATCTACAAGGAAACAGCACGCAAGTCATGGTCGCTTGCCGATGTATAGGACAAGGGAAAAATTCTGCGGAGTGTGGGGTGGCACTGCTTGTGCGACCGATCACATTGACTAGAGTGGGCGCTGACGGCGAACGGGAAGAAACTGGGAGACATGTATGTATCTATGAGGCTGTGGGAGAGAAGTTTTCGGATTGCCACTCCGAGCTTGTTCGACTTTCGACACGACCAGCAGGGACAAAACCAGAATATTGGCGACACCCCTTGAATTTCACGTACGAAGTTCCTGATCCAATTTCTGGAGACTACTGGCGTGCAGACGGACAACGCGGATGGACGCATGATTGTGAGGAAGCCGAGTTTGATGCGTTGCCTGAATACAATATATCAAACCTTCGTCGGGAGGATCTTCGGTTCAACAATCACACGACACCTGCGGGGAAGGGAGGTTACTGCAGACCGCCGGAGGGTGTGCAGTATTACCGTGATGTGGCAGAAGGGAGTGATGATGAATGCGCGGAATTGTATGATTTTGCGGCGCCCTCTTCCGCACATATCGCAACGCAACAAGATGAAATAGCCGTTGGCCAGGATCCCCATACCTATATATCGGAAAAAACACCCCTCACTTCATACACGGAGCTTGCACTCTCGGTTAGCGCGGCTTGTCTGGGCGTCTTGTTCGCATGGTCAATGTATAGAAAGATCATGAAGAAGAAGAATGCTGAGCAGCCGGTCAAATATTTCTTAGTGGGTTTGTTGAAGCAAGTTATGTCGTATGCACTTGAGGCGTTACCCTTGCATATCGCATTAGCTCATGAGGTGGGATGTCGTCACTGGTGGTCCCAGTTTGCCTTTATGGATGCTACTATCACGCTTGCACACGGATTTACCGGAGCGCAGGGCTCGGCACGAGACAGCATGCTGGTGATAACTGCTGTGATGGGTGAGGTGGAATATCTGTACACCAACGAGTCACTTTTGGCACTAATCACAGCGCTCTTTGACCTCATAGCAATTGCCATATTTATTCTGACGGTTGTGAGAAAGACGAAGCATCTGCTTGAAGAGAAGAGAGCGAGGGAACAGATTGCCAGCTATGAGGCTGGGCTCTTGCGAATACCCGAAGGTCTGTCAAACACTTTGCGACGTCTGCAAAGGCGAAAGGGTATCCGCAAGTCGCGACACCATATTGAACGTTCAAAACAGTGGAGAAGCACATATTCATCACAATCTGTCACCAGTGACACTGAGAGAGGAGACCTTGCAGCAGAAGCGAGTACTTCGCAAAGCAGCATGTCAAGTCTAGGCGGCGCTGCATCGCATAGTCAACTGCCACTCTTTCATGGAATGGAAGAATATGACGCGGACAGAGATGCAGCGATGGGTAACATGGACGTGCGGGACAGCAGAAACACAAGGAATACGTCCGCAGATGGGACAGCGAACACGAAAGGGTAGGGTTGATTTGAGGGCCGCGTCTCTAGTCAGGACGGTGGAGACTGACGAGGTTCATGTGCATGACGGTCACAGACCAGGCATCCGCATAAGGGAGTGGAGTGCTTTGATAGACCTGATGGACACCGCTCATGGCGGTCGAAGACGACGGCAGCGTTATAGCGGAGGTATATATGGTATCGGGAATAAGGAGGCACGTGCAATTCAGTCGTACCAGAATCATATTCTTCCTTGCCGACCAGACTGGACATAGCAGGCTGGCTTTGACTGGCTAAGAGAGAGCAGTACAGCTTGGTCTTCTCCTTTTTCGAAGAGAGTAGTTTTTGATGCGCCCCCTTTCGAATTGCGAACTCTACTACCGTACATTCTTTGAGCCCCGGACGCGATGGGAGGATGGACCGGGTAGGCTGCCATTGACCTGAAGTTCGGCGAAGTGCCGCTCCGCATTCTTACTCAAAGGGGACTATTTGTGACCTCCTCTGAAGCATGGGTTAGATCGTCATTCCGGCAGCGATAACAAGAGGCATGGAGATACATGGCCACTTCGGACAAACTCTTTGTCAAAATTTTTTTTATGAGCACAGTGAAGAGTATTCACGCAGTTACAAGTGAGTCTAGCTCACGACTATGAAACAAGGGGGAGGGTACACATCTGTTGGTATCTTCTGTAGTAAACAAAGACCATCTCTGGGTAAAGCACTAAAGCATATGTAGTAGGGTATCTGCAACCTATGGCACCCGATATGAAGGAGTTTTTTGAAGGCCGACGGGATTGCGACAGGGAAAGCTGGAAGGAAAAAAGATCAACAAGGTTCCAACAAAGCATTTGAAGCAAGCTGTTGTGGACGCACGGCAGCTTTTAGTTGGCGCGAAATCGGACTCTTGATGAATAGCGTCAGAGCAAAGGGGGAACCAATTCGTCATAGCCACGCTAGTCTGTGAGGCCCATGGTTGGGTCGATCAAAGCCGCTGGCCAATGAGAGGCGAATTAGAAGATGGCTTTAATCGCATCAAAAAGCACTTCCCCTCGTGGGCGCAATGACTTGCGTTTCTACATAGAATTGTTGCCGAAATGACACAGTTGTGGCAGATGTACATGTTGTATGGACATATTTGCATGTTGCACGAATACTGGACGGTACAGTTCATACCGACACATGAGCAGTGTGTTGGGCCAACTGCAATTCCAAAAAGTACCGGCAAAGCGTTGCTGGGTAGACGGCGTCGAATTACCTTGCAGGGAAAGAAAATTGTGACGACGAAAAAACGGAAATCGAGGAGATCGCAATCACGCTCCATACCATGATACAGTACTTGTGATATCACAAGTACTGTACTATCACAAGTACTCTGCTATCAATAGCAGAGAGATCAAAGACTTCGGGAAAACGGCGGCATTGTTGCCTCGAGGACGATTAAAATTTATTAATTTTATGTCGCCCTGGTGCCTATTTGGAACCGCCATCTCAATATCCTTGCTGTAGACCCGTCCTCTTGTCAAATATGGGCCACACGGGGCAGCACATCCCTGCTGTATTGGTCCCCGGCCAAACAACCACTTGAGAAAATAGCCACTCACTGGCCAGCAACAGCAGAGCAGTACCATTCTGCCTCTTCCGCACTTTTGCTTATGGAGCACATATCTAGCTTCTGTTGGCTTTATGAATGATGGTCCGCATACCGAGGGAGCATAACGCTGCTCACATCGAAGAGTGGAAGTAGCACTTGTTCGGGGCGCCTTTGTGAAGCATATCTCTCTCTCTCTCGTGTGACATCATTCACATATGTTCGATGCTGCTGTCTTTCAGCTTCAACTCCCAGAGAATTTAAGTCTACAAGCATAAGACCACTTTCGTTCAACAGGCTGCACATACATCCCAGATTCCGATCTACCCTCTCACTTATGGCCTTCTCGTGTCACCCGGTAATTCTTTCTGCTCTCCCTGGTCGCAATCACCACTATGGCAGTTTCTGCTCGACTCTCGTTCTTCCTAATCTGTATAGCATTTTTTCTTCTTCCATTTCGGGCCGCCCGTATTCCACCCGTTCTTCGAGCAGATTGGCAACCTGAAGGTCCAACAGGAATTCTCGACCCTCTGCGTCGCCTGCAAGATTCAGTCGGAACTGCTACTCAAGTTTGGGCTAATGGACCGATGGAAGAACACCGCACCATCACGGCCTCTCGATCAGGCCCCATGTCCGCAGTTTATCGCACAGCCTTGGCTTCCAATGCATCTCAAGAATGCAATCACTCGTCTAAGAATCAGTGCGAAGTCGCGATCAATGGATTCGGGACTGTAGGTGAAGTGCATTACACTTTCAACAACTTCAGAGAGAATCTACAAGGAAGAAGCACGCAAGTCATGGTCGCTTGCCGATGTATAGGACAAGGGGAAGATTCCAACGAGTGTGGGGTGGCACTGCTTGTGCGACCGATCACATTGACTAGAGTGGGCGCTGACGGCGAACGGGAAGAAACTGGGAGACATGTATGTATCTATGAGGCTGTGGGAGAGAAGTTTTCGGATTGCCACTCCGAGCTTGTTCGACTTTCGACACGACCAGCAGGGACAAAACCAGAATATGGGCGACACCCCTACAATTTCACGTACAAAGTTCCTGATCGAATTTCTGGAGACTACTGGCGTGCAGACGGACAACGCGGATGGATGCATGATTGTGGGGAAGCCGAGTTTGATGCGTTGCCTAAATACAATATATCAGGGCTTCGTCGGGGGGATCTTCGGTTCCACAAACACACGACACCTGCGGAGAAGGGAGGTTACTGCAGACCGCCGGAGGGTGTGCAGTATTACCGTGATGAGGCAGAAGGGAGTGATGATGAATGCGCGGCATTGTATGATTTTGCGGCGCCAGCCGCGTCAAACCGGGGGACGCAGCAGGATGAAATTGCGATCGGAATGGACTTGTCGACGTACCTGGCAGAGAAAATACCCCTTACTACCTACACAGAAATTGCACTCTCACTTAGCGCAGCTTGTCTGGGTCTTTTGCTCGCGTGGTCAATGCACAAAAAGATCATCACGAACATGAATGCTGAGCAACCGATCAAATATTTCTTGGTGAGTTTGTTGAAGCTAGTTCTGTCGTATGCGCTCGAGGCGTTACCCTTGCACATCGCACTAGCTGAGGAGGTGCGTTGTCGTGACTGGCGGTCGCTGTTTGCTTTCATGGATGCGAGTGTCACGCTTGCGCACGGATTTAAAGGATCGCGGGGTTCGGCAAAAGACAGTTTGCTTGTGTTAACCGCTGTGGTTGGTGAGGTTGAATTTTTGACAACGCATGAGATTTTTTTGGCATGCTGTACGGCGCTATTCGATGTGACGGCTCTTGTCATATTCGGGCTGACGGTTGTGAGAAAGACAAAGCAACTCCTGGATGAACGGAAGGCGAGGGCGATGGTTGTCAGTAGTAGGACAAAACCCCATTCGTCTTCCGTGCGCACGGAGGGTGGTCTGATTAGAGCTCGGCGGCGCAAAATAATTATCAAGTCGGCGAATTGGGAGCTTGCCTTGGGGAGACTCATGAAGTACAAATTTCACAATGTCAGGTGGTTGTAAGGAGACGGAAAATCGTGATGCAGGGGCAAGGAATTATTGGGGCAATAACGTGGCAAGTCTTTGCGACGCAGATTCCCATGTGCGAATGGGTGTTGTCACTGATGTTGAAGTGCGCCGGGCGGAACGAAAGGAGGAGACGGGTGGCAGAGGCACGGCGAGAACGTGCATCGATGGATGCTTGTACAATCATTGGGATCGATCATTGCAATATTAATGGTATCGTTCTGTAGACTGTTGCGTAGCATTACGCAGCTAGCCCTTCCTGCAATAGGATGTGCAGGGCACAGTAATCATCTTACTACATTTCTGCTCAACCCTTCTGCTGAGTGTTGACGCTAACTTTTTCGGTTCATCGCCTGGAACTTTCTCGCCCTCAGGATAATCGTCGCCACAAACATCGACTGTTGATTGTCTCCTTTTCGGAGAAAAAGATGGGGGAGGGCACCTGCTCAGTGATCCACATGGTCTCATTTCTGTTCTTCTGTCCTGACCCCTCTTTCACAACTCCTGCTCTTCGCGTTTCTCAGCCCCACAGGCCCTTCTTCAGTCATGTCCCACTTACACGGCCTTCCACTTGCGACATGATTCCAATTTTCATGCCATATCAGGTATGATCGATAAAGAGGGGGGGATGGCATCTCTTCCTTTCCTCGCATCTTGAGAATTTTGGGAGCGGCGACTAGGGTTTTACTCGTACTTGCAGCGTTACAAGTACATAGAAGTCTCGCCGCCAATGGCAAAAACGGGAATTTGCCTCTAAACCATACACACAACCGTCTCGAGAGCATGGACATGGAAATCCCTCGTGCCCCTCCTCCCCCCGTGCCCTAGCTTGGGTTGGTCGAGTTATAAGTCAACGTGGTGAAAAGTTGACAGGGGGGGGGGGGGGGGGGGGGGAACATGTCTTCTTTGTTCCAAGATCGAACTTAGTTTTCGTTCAATGGCCAGGGCGAGCTTCAAACAAAACAATTTGGCGTGACACGGGCTATTCATGCACTGTACCTGGCCGTGTGTGTAGGAGTTTCTTCGTATCAAAGTGCAATTGAAACACTGGTCTAAACTTTATGGAAGGGGACTGCGAGTTATGCAGGCTTTTAGGAACATGAGCATGGTGCCAACATGGCGAAAACGCTCCTCGCATTTGGGCAGCGATGTATTTGTAACTGCTTACTTGTGGCCTGCGGGGCACTGCCTCTGCGAGCGCACTCCCTCCTCCACGAAAGGATAAAAACAAAAGCATGGGTTCCGTGAGGCCCCAGGGAAGCTATCTGTGAGAAAATATTTTCATCGTGACAAACTTTGTGAAGTTTGACACTTGAATAATGACACAATGCTTACATTTGAAGGCAGTCGGTAAGCTAATGGGTGTTGCTTTACTGGTGCACGTCACGCTCTGTGGCACGTAGTTGCGCGTTGTATCCAAGGTTGTCCACGCGTAGCCATTCGAGCGACCACGAATATTCTTGATACCGTTCTCGTTCTTGTGCGGAATTCACTTTGAAGGTTTGAGAATTCTTGTTTCACTAAATTTCACGCCAGCGAGGCTTGCGGAGTTTTCCCAATGCCACGCAAAAGGTTAATACAGATACTGTACAGAAAAGTTGTGACTGATGTTCATGTTTCTCTCACAGAAAATGTCTCTTATAGAAGACAGTATGTACCGTAGATCAACTCGTGGCAAACCACCAGCACGTTTTGGCACTTGGTGTCGCTTCACGCGTTCGGTGTCAGACCTCACTGCTGCCACGTTTTGACATGAGGGCCTTTCTCCAGTATGCGCATGTGGACTCAAACGCAGATGTATCTCTCGATATGGCATTACTCGCTGCGCACGTAGGTATTGAGGGAAGCGTTACGGTGGTAACGATTTACAGCTTGTGCACACGACGTGTTTCATATTTTTTGACGAGAATATCGACTAGTGTTTGACAACGCTCGCCACGGGGTGCGAGCTACAGGATACTGCAGATCTTGCCCGTTCTATATGCCTCACGCCTACGTGGAGAAGTTGTCGCAGGCCTTGTTGGAGCCTCCAGAAGTGGACTTCATGGACGACGGAAGGGGGATTGTGTGACTCTGCATCTGAATTAATTCTGGTGAGGCGTTGTGCAGGACATTGCTACATTATCTTCCTTTTAAGGGCGTTGAGGCAAAATTGCATCATGATTCTACAACAGCGAAAGGTGCACTTGCCGCGAACGTGTGACTAGTGCTGTACCGGGTACTGTACGAGTGAGTATTCTGTTTGTTATTATGTCACAAAAAGAAGGCGAGACCTTTTGCCAGAAAGAGTCTACTGAGGGGTAACAAAACTGCCTTCAGTGCAGAGAAGCAGACTCTCGGTTCTATAAGACCAACTCAAACCAGACCCCAGCTTGCGCCCTATTCATGCATACATCCCTACTTGGTAGTAACTCAGATCCTTGGTCACATTCTCAAACATTTCAGATTCGTGACGTTAGTCTCAAGAGGCCCTTTTTCTCTGTTACTTTACTCTCTACTACCAAGCCTACTCCGAATAGAGTCGATGTTCGCCTTTGCAAAAAGGAGAGTCAAAATGTTGTCAACGAGTGCGCGCGACGAGTGCACGCGAGTTATTTTTTGAGCGGTGCGACAAAAGGTTGAAGAACCTTTTACCGAAACTAGAGAAAATTAGAGCGACCACAACGCACAAAACACACGGCAAGTCGTACGATCACATTCAAAATCTAGGTATTGGAACGGTGTTTGGCGCGGCTGTTGGAAAATAAGGTGCCGCGACGCGTTTTGGTTGCGACACGGAAGACGTGGGCTGCTGCAGGCGCGGCAGCAGAGGCTGTGCACGAAAACGATCAATCTGGTACAGTTGGGCGACGCATCCGAGGTGCATGAGGTTAATTTGTCCAATGCGAGGCTGAAAAAAAGACAGAGTCCTTGACACGACCGCCAAACAAAATTTTGAAAGTAGACAAGCAAGTGATGAGGTCGAGATGAGGTGGCGCTGTATAGCACTCGAGAAGGCGGTGACGCGAATGCGGCAATATGCGCATTAAATAGCGAGAGACTTGCACAGATGCTTGATAGCGACGCATCATTTGTCATTGCGACAAGAATCGTCCTGCTCTAGCACGGACATACTGTACAACGTAGGATGTCATCAACAAGCGGACGAAAAGCAAAAAGGAAAATTGAAGCAAGCAGGTCAAAAAAAAAAAAAAAAGGCGGTCACGGCGGGTCTCTCTCCTTGTCAGCGGGACCAAACGGGGTGCCTCTCCTCTTGCTCTTCAGGCCAAACCCCTTCTCCATAACAAGCTCTGCTCCCTCAAGCACGCTGGCGTTGATCAAAAACGAGTCGCATACGCCCGTGATCTGGCCCCATCCCTGGGTCCCCCTCTTCCGCAGCAAGCCAAGATTCCTTAGGGTGGTGACAACAGCGCAATCGGTGCCACTGTGGGCGACGATAGGCGACAGGGCGAGCAGCGAGAGGGTAGTGACGCAGAAAGTCTCGAAGAATATGCCGGGCACGGCGGCAGTGGCGGCGGTGCAGCCGGCCAGGACGGTGAGCGGGGGCGTGACGAGGGCGCAGGAGTTGACGAGCTTATCAAAAATGTCGTTCCGTGGCGGAGGTGTAGTGTGGGGTGGGTGCAGGGTGTCGGTGTCGCACAGGTCGACGACGGATGGGTGGACCATGGGCAGAGCGGCGAGCTGTGCGCGGGCGTAGCGTAGGTGCGGAAGGGCGACGGGGACGGGGAGCGGGATGGGGCGGGGGTGCGGGGTGTTAGCAGAGTGCGGCAGGCGGAGCGGCGGGGAGTGCGGGAGCGCGGGAGCGGGGACTCGGACGGGGACGGGGACTCGGACCCGTGGGGGTGGAGCGAGGCCGAAGCGGAGGGCGGCGGGGTCGAGGTAGCGCCAGGAGAACCAGGCCTTTCCAGCACACTGGCGGCCGCTCGAGCATGCCG